GGCCAATCAGCTAACCAGTATTTTCGCCCCTTCCCAAAATTACTTCAACGGAAGTATGCGGAGCAAATCCATCTGGCGGAGTCAGGTTAGTGACAAGCTCACCAGCCCTTTAGGCCCCAGATCTGGACTGTGCTAGATTTATTATAGGTTAATAAAGTTAACTGAAAAGACATTTTTTGGCCTGAAATGTTTCTACCCTTCACTTTTCAAGGTTTTTAAAAGGCTTTCATAAATGCGAATTGAGTCGCAGAAAAACTCTGGCTCCCATGAATAAAACTGAAGCGAGCAGAGGCGTGGCACAGCCGATTTTAGAGTTACTGTTGGAAGAATACACCAAGAGTTGGACTCAGTGTTAATTTTAGAAGGCATGTTAAATCCACTTACCCTATGTTTTCCCAATCTCGAGTGATGGGATTGTAGAGAGCCCTCAGAGCAGGGAATAAACTGAAGGTTTAAATTACTTTTAAATTAGTTTGACATAGTAAATTCCCATATTTTAGGTCTAGGTTCTTTCTGTTTGTCTGTTCCTGTTCAGAGGTCAATTATGTAAAAAAAAAAAAAAAAAAAAAACTTGAAATTGTGCCCTAAGTTATAACTTTGAAATGTCTTAAGTTTGTAAATAAAATAATTAAACAAAAAGGTTTAGAATTTTTTTCAAATGGCAACATGGGGCCCTGTTCCTGCAGTGGGGTGCCCCTTAAAAACTGGGAAGAAAAAAAGGGACGGATCTAGACTTTTAAAATAGAACTGTATGTGTCCTGGTTTATCTAACTTACATTCTTTGTCGTAGGCTGATCGGCTGGTGCTCGGAGCTCCAGGAAGCTTCTACTTCCAGGGTGAGAGAGACCCCTGCTGGTCACTGATTGTACTAGCAGAGCAACAATAAGTGAATGAGAGACAATGGAGCTAAAACTTTATTTTGTTTAATTTGGGAAAGAGAGTTAAATATAATAAATACTGTTAATTCGCAACTTTATTTGAAATGGCTGATTTCCTACTCAGAAACAGATGAATCAACTCCACATTAAAGAGATAACCAAGATGCATAGATTCAGTTGGAAAAAAATCTACAATGATAAAATAATAATTAAGTAAAACTGATAGCTTTAAATGGCTTTAATGCCTGTTCTGTTCTGGCATTTTAAATAAGGATGTGCATAAATATTGAACCTGTCAGATTCCTACAGTAACCAGCGCCATACTTGCATGGCATCATTGCTGATTTCAGGTCAGGTGATCACAGTGGGTCTCAGGGACATCATCGACAGCCAACAAAGCAATGAACCCATTCAGTACGTAACAGGAATCCACCAATCAGAGGAGCAGGGTGGTTACGACCTTTACCGTGGTGAGTGAAGCACTATGCTGATATCAACTGAAAGAAGAGCTTTTATTTTGCAATGATTTACACAGGGCATTTTATTTTGAAAGATATATATCTCTTATTGACAAAGCTTATAACACTGCTGGTATAGATTAGACTGTGGGCTATTGCTATTAAGATCTATTTGGCTAATGTTTTGATATGGTTGAACTGTAAAGTGCCTTGAGATGACATGTGTTGTGAATTTGGCGCTATATAAATAAACTGAATTGAATTGAATTAATATGAATGAGATTTATACCCTAACCACATTTTATTTTTTTTATTTTACTGTATTGACACATAAATTTCCATCTTAAGGTGAAGAATTAAAGGAGAGTTCAGAATCTATAGCATATTTTTCTAGACAAGCCGTAGCAGAGCACAAATAATTATTAAAAAAAAAAGCAATGTCTTTACTGGTCTTTATAATGCAGTAATGTTAAAGCAAAGTAGAAATGTGATGGCCAGAAAGGTCTTTATCATCATTTGCTTAGTGGGTTATGGTGGTTTAATCAGACTCAATGTTAGTGGATTTCGAAATGTGTCATTTTGCCAGGTTACTCTGTGGCTAGCGGTATGTTGACTGGCGACTCCACACCAGGTAGGACATTTTTGATCTAATCTAATCTAATCCCATCGGATCTGATCTAATGAAACATTGTGTTTCTTTGCATTAGATTATGTGGTTGGTGTTCCACATGACAGGAACTCTGCAGGAACAGTAAGGATTTCCTGTATTGTTTGGCTTGTGCTGGTAGGGATAAGCAAAGAGGAGGCTTAGTGAGACTCTAATGTGGGTCTGTTCTACCAGGTGAGAATCTATGATGGAAGAATGGGCGGTTCTCTGAGAGTTTACCACACCTTTCTAGGAGCTCAGGTAAAAATGCACACTACTATGTTTAGATGTGAATGATCTAGTGTGGAACTGAGGTATCTCCTTCGCCTGCCAGGTGGCTTCCTACTTTGGACACAGCGTGGCCGTAGCCGACTTCAACGGCGATGGGTGAGAACGAGCACACGTTTTAAACACTTAGGACGGATTTACTGTGTTCTCTGTAAAGATATAGGCTTAATATATTTTCTTTTCCATCACCTTGTGTCTCTGAATATGATTGTTGGGTTCTGTGTTTTTTTTGGCGTATCCCTGCGGTTACTGCAGTCTGGAGGATGTTCTTATTGGAGCTCCACTCTTCATGGACAGAGTGATGGAGCAGTTGCAGGAGAGAGGACAGGTCTGGACACTTGATCCATCTCTTCTTCCATTCTGTCGTTTTAGTGTGATTTCAGATTTTAGTTTTGACTACTAATTCATTATAATTTCCAAAAATGTTGGTTTATAGATGATATTATTGAGCCATCCATCCATCCATACATTTTCCATCATGCTTATCTCAAGTGGGGTTGCGAGCTGGTGCCTTAGCTGTCTACTGGTGAGAGGCGGGGTCCGACCTGGGCAGGTCCAGCGTTGTGCCTGAACGCGTTCATTGAACGAAAGTT